TGTGTATGTGTGTGTGTATGTGTGTGTGTATGTGTGTGTGTATGTGTGTATGTGTGTGTATGTGTGTGTGTGTGTGTGTGTGTGTGTTATTGCCGTGCCATATTGCGGTTCACCGGTCTTGGACTTGGTATATCACGGTTTGTTTTGTTTTGTTTTTCTAGCTATTGTTAAGTTTTAGTATCTTCACTGGTGAGTACCGATACGCAATATAGATTATGATAAAGTCATTGACAAATTTGCAAGGCCTGTTGAATAAGAAAAATTTCTTAAGGACTGTTCATCGACCATAATCCTGGAGTAGAGAGTTTTTATATGACCGAATGGAAGGTTTATAAGAGGGTTGGGAGGGTTAATAAAGGTGCAGAAATATGTACCAGATACGAGATATTGTTATATATCGTTTTTAGTTTGAAGATTCTCCCCTTTCGTGGGAGGTTATTTACGTGACCTGCCCCCGGCGATATTCAAGGGAGTACTACATCCCCCAGGGCAGTGCTACTGACTGAAGTGTCTTTAGGCCATTCCCAAAGGCTACCGGACTCGTAATCGTGAGATTGTCGGTGGTCTAGTGGTTAGACCCCCGCCTCTTAAATAACCTAATGGTCTTGATAAGGGCGTTAAACCCATGCCATGATAATGCACCATCATATTTATCAAATCTGTTAAGACTGGTCATTCCAGCTCGCAGTTTAAGGTCATCAGCTGACAAAAAGAAATTATTTTACCAACTATGAAATTTAAAACAATGGGTGAAAGGGCATTTGAATACCAAGGCCCCAAGATCTGGAATGCTTTACCAAGTACTTTAAGAGAGATCAAATCTTTTGATTCATTCAAATGTCAGCTGAAGTCGTTTCTGTTTTTAAATTAATAAGATAAATATTTGGAATAATTTTCTTCAGTCAGAACACAACGTCTTATGTTACTGTTGTATTTTGTACTGTATTGTAAAGCGCCCAGAGCCTGTGTACTTTAATCGGGGTTGAGTGCTATATGAATGTCATATATTATTATTATTATTATCTCACAATTTCACAGCTTGTTCCCAGGCATCATGGCGTCCGCACTGCCAGTGGTCATCGGAGTGGACATCGGCGGCACCAACACGGACGTCGTCCTCATCTGCCACAGGGAGGGGCGGCACCAGGTCTTGTCCGAGGTGAAAGAACTGACCAGCAGTGACGTCACCACAGGTGTGCAGAAAGCGGTGCTGAGGGCCCTGCTGCAAGCGAAGGACAACGGTCATGTCGTGAGCCCGATCCAGGTCAACATAGGTGAGTAGCTAGAGAGTACAACGGTCATGTCGTGAGCCCAATCCAGGTCAACATAGGTGAGTAGCTAGAGAGTACAACGGTCACGTCGTGAGCCCGATCCAGGTCAACATAGGTGAGTAGCTAGAGTACAATGGTCATGTCGTGAGCCCGATCCAGGTCAACATAGGTGAGAAGCTAGAGAGTACAACGGTCATGTCGTGAGCCCGATCCAAGTCAACATAGGTGAGTAGCTAGAGAGTACAACGGTCATGTCGTGAGCCCGATCCAGGTCAACATAGGTGAGTAGCTAGAGAGTACAACGGTCATGTCGTGAGCCCGATCCAGGTCAACATAAGTGAGTAGCTAGAGAGTACAGCGGTCATGTCGTGAGCCCGATCCAGGTCAACATAGGTGAGTAGCTAGAGAGTACAGCGGTCATGTCGTGAGCCCGATCCAGGTCAACATAGGTGAGTAACTAGTGGAGAACGGTGTCGTTTTGGTGGCCTTGTTTTCTTTTGATTTTTCTTTGTTTTTGTTTTGTTTGGGTTTTTTTGTTAATTTTTTTAAATTGTTAGTTGTTCTTTTGTTTTGTTTTCTTGGCGCACTACATGAATTCGCGGTGGGTGGTTGGTTGGCGGGTGCTCCGGTGTGGCTTGCTTTTTGCTTCCTACCTAACATCTATCATCCTTATCTTTCCTCCTTCTTTTTTATGTTTGTGACACCTTTAATCTTCGGCACTTTAATCTTCGGCACTTATATGACCTTATTGTGTTGCAAGTGCCGTAAAACACTTATTAAAACAAAAAAATGAATTCGCGATTTCTCGTTTTTAAAAGAATATGCCTCGAGTTCAAGTCAATCACGAAATTTTAAATATTGAAAAGGGCGCTATTACAGTGGAACTTGACTCTCTTTTTCCAGATTGTAAACTATTTGAGTGTCGCTAGATCAAGAACGACTGGCTGTACTGCTAGTAGTACGAGTAATTGGCCCCCAATTTGTTGCAAAGCGCTGAACCATCTGTTTCCAGATTATTAAAGTAGTGTTGTTTCAGTGTTACTTGTGCTACTATATTATACTAAAGTTTCGCTATATTCTACTTTTGTAAGTTTGTCACACTCTTGTGACCCGCTATTTCCGGGGTGCCTTGATAGTCGAAGTATACTCTGTGCTGTTGAAGCTAGAGAGGTGAGCAGAGTAAGTCTGATTCCCTGTAAGGACTTCTCTGGTGACATCCACCCCTTGGCGCTCATATGACCTTATGCAGTTGCGAGCGCCGTAAAACCCCTACTAAAACAAAATTAAACAAGAACGTTGCCAGTTTACATGTATTTGATTCAATACGATTAGTTTGATACGGTACTTCCTTCTTCCTAATTCGTCTATGATTAGACATCAAAGAAGTATATCATTTGACAGCTTCTCATTATGTTGCACCTGCTACTATCACTATCTTCGTTATCAGTTTTTTATGGTGTCTTTTGTAACTGATAAATCGATAACATTTATCACCAGTTACCGGTTGTGTATGTGTGTGTATGTGTGTGTATATGTGTGTGTGTATGTGTGTGTATATGTGTGTGTGCATGTACGTCTTGCTCTTTACCTCACGCTAAATAACTTACTGTGTCGATGTGTTCCCCTTCACACAAAGCACATCGCCATGATGACAGGCCATTTAGGTACGGGAGGACGTGCGAGATGGAAACAGAGAAACGACTGTAGAAAATAATTATTTGTAATAATAATAATAATAATAATAATAATAATAATAATAATGATAATGATAATAACAATGATAATAATAATAGTAATAATAATAATAAGCAGAAGAAGAAGAAGAAGAAGAAGAAGAAGAAGAAGAAGAAGAAGAAGAAGAAGAAGAAGAAGAAGAAGAAGAAGAAGAAGAAGAAGAAGAAGAAGGAGGAGGAGGATTAGGAGGAGGAGGAGGAGGAGGAGGAGGAGGAGGAGGAGGAGGAGGGAAAAGAAGAAGAAGAAGAAATATATTTGTATAGTGCAAATTCGCTCAACAGCAAGCTCTATGTACTTTACATTCTACATGTATATTATTACCCCAGCAGACCTGACACATGTAGCATTCTGAAACAATCTGAACTTTCCGGAAGTGTAGAGTGCAAGCTGCTATTTTGTAGGCGCTAAAACGCTAAACATTCGCTGTCTATTGCCGGGTACCCATTTGCACCTGGGTGAAATGAGTAACATTAGTGTAAAGTGCTTTTCCCAAGGACACCACGTAAGGCTTTAGACTGGAATCCCCAAACCCGCAACAAGGGGGCTCTCGTGGCCTAGAGGTTAAGGTGTTCGCCTCTCATTCGATGGTCCTGGGATCGAATCCGGGTAGCGACCGAACACATTTTTTTCTCTAAAATTGTCTCCTTTCACATCCTTTCCTGCCCTCTAGCAATGTTCTGTCGTCTGCTTTCGTCTCCTCTTTCTGCCCCCACCCCCTCACCTCCTTTGCCCTCTCCTCTGGGCTCCTGACTCTTTCTGTAGCCTTTCTACTGCTACTCCTTGGCCCGTTCTTACTGCAGTCTTTCAACTACACTGGTAGGAAAGATCTACACCTAGCCTTCTCGGACAAGGGCGAAATATCTGGGAGGTCCTGTGTGCAAATTACGCACGTCTAAAATCGATAAGAGTAGGCTTTGGCCGCCAACCGGGCAAAATTCAAAATTTCATATCAATTGAAAATTAAGGTTTAATGTGTCCCGCGCCCTCATATGACCTTATGCTGGTGCAAAAATAAAAAAAAATAAATAGAACTAAGTTCGTTTATGCTGGCTTGACAAAAGTTTTGTCACGCGTATGGAAATTGAATAATATGACTAGATCGGACTCAGACAAAAGTAGGACTGGTTCAAGAAGTGTTGCGCAGAGATTTGTATCAGGCGGTGATGAACGCCGCACACACATTGTAGAGCACTGTGCTCAGAGACGTAATAGAAGAATTTGAATAGGGCTTTAAAAAAAAAAAGTTTGTCAAGTACAGCGTGACACTAGACCTTTATATCTGTGCACATAGACACATAGATTTCAGCTTTCTAGAGTATTTCCCCTTCAAATGTAAACATGGCAAGTTCAAATGTGGCATAGTGGATAGTTGGCGGGTGCTCTGGTGTGGTTTGCTTCTTCTTTCCTATCAAACATGTATCGTCCTTATCTCCCCTTCTTCTTTTTATGTTTGTTACTCTCTTGTAACACCTATTATTCTGGCGCTCATAATAATAAGACCTTATGCAGTTGCGAGCGCCGTAAAACTTCTGCTAAAACTTTTAAAATGTGGCATAGCAGGAGCACATATTATTTCTTCTTTCCTTGATCAAATTTTGTGAAACTGAAAGTTTCAATTTGACACGTATTTTTGTAGCACAACAACAACAACAACAAAAATTGTTAAATATTTTTAATAATAATAATAATAAATAACATTAATAATAATAATAATAGTAATAGTAATAATAATAATATAACAATAATAATAATAATAATAATAATAATAATAATAATAATAATAATAATAATAATAATAATAACAACATGGCACATGCATTTTGTACGTGCTGGCAAATACATCTATATATATAGATGAAACAGACTTAAAAGGGGGAGGGGGCTATCCTGAAAAATGCTGTTTTGAGAAAAGCGAAGGTAAAGTTTTTAAACCCTTGTTCAGTTTCTTTAAAAGACAAGGAGAGTTTTCTCTATAACCAAACAAATTATACGCACCAATGAAACCAAACTTCTCCTACAGATAGGGCAATGCCCACTTTTGGTGTAGGTCAAGATTTCTGGAAACCCCCAAAATCTGGGTTAGCCCGCTTGTCCTTAAAAGCGACCAAACGAACCCGTGAACCATCTGGCCGAGGAAAAAAGAGCAGTGCTTGGCGTCCAAGGCGGAAGTGAAGCAAAATTTGCAATGACACTCCCCTGTGAACAAAGTTGATGGGCGATTTTGTAGTTTCGTTCGTTAAAGTCAAGAGTAAGGGGGGTTTCAAAAGTCCCCCTGACCTGACCCCCCTCCCCCCCCCCAAAAAAAAATATGAAGGGGGGGGGGGGGGGGGGGGGTTCTACCATAATTTGATGTTTTGCAGCTAGGTTGCATCCCTGTTCTTTGTGTTGCCTATTTGGTCATCAAGACTTATGGATTTCTTCTCTGGATGTAAGCAAATGGATCGTGGACTTAAACGAACGGAACTACAAGATCACCAGTTGATGCCATCATATATACCAATACCTTTCTGAAAGAGGATTGTCTGGTGCCCGTTTTCGTGATGCATGCATTTTTACACGCATTGTGCAGGCGTGATACTACATCCAGTAATGGGTGTGGGTGGTTGGCGTGTGCTCTGGTGTTGTTTGCTTCTTCTTTCCTATGAAGCATCTATCTTCTTTATCTCCCCTCCTTTTGTTGTGTTTGTTACTCTCTTGTAAAACCTCTAATCTTCGGCACTTATATGACCTTATTGTGTTGCGAGTGTCGTAAAACACTTACCAAAACAATCCAGTAATGGGTGCATTTTGGTCGTGCTGTGACTTCATTTTGCACAAAAGTGCACAGAGATTTCTATTGCTTGTGTGTGGTAGAATGTCAGCATTGATTTACGCCACAGCGCTCAAATCTAATCTTTCCTGTCCAACACAATCATAATTATTATCTGCACAAGCCGTTTGGCGGTTGTGTTTCAGTTTTAGTAAGTGTTTTAGGGCGCTTGCAACACAATAAAGTCATAATAATTGCCGAAGATTAAAGGTGTTACAAGAGAGTAACAAGCTCAAAAAAGAAGGAGGAGAGATAAAGACGATAGATTTTTGATAGGAAAGAAGAAGCAAACCACACCAGAGCACCCGCTAACCACCTTTTCCTCCGTTGTTTCTGTCTCTGTCTTAAAAATTGGGAAAATGGTGTAGGTTTAACACCCCAATCAACACTATTAGGTTTTTTACAAAGGCGGGACCTCCGAGTTTAAGGCCCATTTCCGAAAGGACCGAGCTAAATAGGACATTTGTGTAGAGGACACAACGTCTAACTAAGCTGAGGCCCACTGTCTGCCTGCCTGTCTGTCTGCCTGTCTGCCTGTCTGCCTGTCTGTCTGTCTGTCTGTCTGTCTGTCTGTCTGTCTGTCTGTCTGTCTTTCTATTTTTTCCAAAAGTCAAATAGCTCTGATTGTGCCTGTGTTCAGTTATTTCTTTACTCACGCCAACGTCGTACATGTTGTTTTGACTTTTTGTCTTGACTAACTCTTCTTTGTGCTTCTCTGTGTCTGCGGGTGGTTTGCGGCTGCTCTAGTGCGGTCTGCTTCTTCTTTCCTATCAAACATCTATCGTCCTTATCTCCCCTTTTTCCTTTTTATGTTTGTTACTCTCTCGTAACACCTCTAATCTTCTGGCGCTCATATGACCTTATGCAGTTGCGAGCGCCGTAAAACCTCTACTAAAACTAAAACTTCTCTGTGTCTGTGCCCAGGTACTACTCACTTTGTGAACGCCGTCGTGCAAGGAAAAGACCTGGCCAAAGTGGCTGTTATCCGGATCTGTGGGCCCGTGTCCGAGGAGCTCCTGCCTTTCTGCGACTTTCCATCAGGCTTAGCAAACATAATCCGGGGTTCTGTCCATCTCGTGCGGGGAGGGTTCCGGTATGATGGGAAAGAACACGAGCCAATGGACGAGGCTCAGCTCCGTGACGTCATTGAAGGCGTTAGAAAACAGGGCATTAGAAACATTGCTTACATTGGAATCTTTTCCCCCACTCGCCCGGATCAGGAAGTGAGAGCAAGGGAGATCACCCTCGAGGTTTTCCCGGAAGCCAGTGTGTCTTTGTCTCACGAAATTGGCCATATCGGGATTCTGGAGAGGGAGAATGCGGCGATTCTCAACGAGTGTTTGAAACCTTTGTGTAAGAAAACTGTCAGCGGGTTTCAGTCAGCTTTAGAGGAGATTGGAGTCACGTGCCCATTTTTTCTCACTCAAAATGACGGGACGATCATCAGCAGCGAGGGCGTCCTAGAGCTCCCAGTGCTCACTTTTGCCTCAGGCCCCACCAATAGCATGCGTGGCGCGACCTTTCTTTCCGAGCTTCGAGACGCCATTGTCGTAGACATAGGCGGCACCACCACTGATGTGGGCGTGTTGAAGAACGGATTCCCGCGAAAAGCGTCCACGCACGTAAAAGTGGGCGGAGTCCGGACCAACTTCCGGATGCCTGACGTAGTGAGCATCGGATTGGGCGGTGGATCCTACGTGAAGGAGAAAAGAAATGAGAAGGGGGAACTAGAGGGCGTGACGGTGGGCCCTCGCAGTGCGGGTTTGAACCTCATGAAAGAGGCTCTTGTTTTTGGGAACGGACTCGACTCGGAGACACGGTCGCTCACGACAACGGACATCGCTGTCGCTGCTGGGCTCTATATTCTCGGGGACGCAAAGAGGGTGGGAGGGCTTGATGAGGCGTTGGTGAGGAAATCTGTGGAGGAGGTCCACTCACTGGTGGAGGAATTGGTGGACAAGATCAAGCTGAGCAAGGAGGAGCTGCCTGTCATCGTAGTGGGCGGAGGAAGTATTTTGATTGACATGAAGAGGTCTCTGAAGGGAGCCACTGAGCTGATCGTACCGGAGCATTTCGGCGTGGCCAACGCTATTGGGGCAGCGCTGAGCAAAGTCTCAGCGAGCATAGACACCGTGGGTGAGTTATACGTCATGATTGAAACGATCGGTGTGCAGCAATGTTGTTGGCTTTTTGTTTGTTTGTTTGTTTGTTTGTTTTGTTTGTTTGTTTGTTTTGTTTGTTTGTTTTGTCTTTCGTTTTAATTGGGTTGTTGTTGTTGTTGTTTGTTTGTTTGTTTGTTGTTTTTTATTGTTGTTTTTTTGGGGGGGATTCTTGTTGTTGTTGTTGTTGTTGTTGTTGTTGTTGTTGTTGTTGTTGTTGTAGTGAGGGGTGGGGATAGTTAATTTTTTGGTGCTTATGTTTTTGGGGGTATTTTTTGGAGGAAAGGGTGGGGGGCGGTAGTTTAACCCAGATATTAATATTATGTTGGGAAAAAAAATGGCCTATGTTTCTGTCTGTAGTCTGTCAGCCTTCTTTCCATTGGGTGTTTGAGTGGGTGGTTGGCGGGTGCTCTGGTGTGGTTTGCTTCTTCTTTCATCTATCGTCCTTATCCCCCCTCCTTCTTTTTTGTGTTTGTTACTCTCTTGTAACACCTCTAATCTTCGACACTTATATGACCTTATTGTGTTGCAAGTGTCATAAAACACTTACTGAAACTAAAACTGGGGTGTTTGTTCACACAAATGATCTGCCTCTTCCGTCAGTGAACCTGTTAAACATGGTGGACAGCGCAGAGATGGAGCGATGTGTCACCGAGGCTGTCAATGCAGTCACTGACGATCCTGATGGGAAAAAAGCTGACCTGGCCACCAATGAAGCCAAGAAACCGTTCTTTTCTAAAGCCAGAGACACCGCGATTGAGGACATTTACCAGAAAGTATGGATGCTTAAAATCTAACCATGTATCCCTTGTCCGTTGCCATTCATATCTGTATGTTGTCTAATCACTGCATGATAAATCAAGACGTTTTCCATGTTAAAGAAATCAGTGTGAATCTCTGCCCCCTCCTCTTACTCATCCTCAGTATCATCATCATCATCATCATCATCATCATCATCATCATCATCATCATCATCATCATCATCATCGTCACCATCATCAACATCAACATCATCATCAACAACAACAATAACAACAACAACAACAACAACTACAACAACAACTACAACAGCAGCCGCAACAACATCATCAACAGTAACAACGATTTGTCACAAAAAGCCCTTGTTGTAACTATAGGCATTAGTCTCTACCAATCTCCATGACCTACACTTTGATGCTACTGCTACCTTTGCTGAATCTTTTGATTCATTCATTCAAATGTCAGCTGAAGTTGTTTCTGTTTTTAAATTAATAAGATGAATATTTGGAGTAATTTTCTCTTAGTCAGAACACAACGTTTTATGTTACTATTGTATGTTGTACTGTATTGTAAACCGCTCAGAGCCTGTGTACTTTAATCAGGGTTGAGCGCTTTATAAATGTCATTTATTATTATTATTATTATTATTATTATTATTATTATTATTATTATTATTATTATTATTATTTATTATTATTATTATTATTATTATTATTATTATTATCATTATCATTATTATTATTATTATTATTATTATTGCGATATTTTATTATCATTATTAGTATTATTGTTACTATTATTATTGTCATTATTATCATATTATTAATATCATTATTATTACATGTATTATTATTATTATTATTATTATCATTATCATTATTATTATTATTATTATTATTATTATTATTATTATTATTATTATTGTTATTATTATTATTGTTATTATTGTTATTATTATTATTATTATTACCTACTTGTTCTCATTCGGACTATTTTCAAACTTTTGTCAAAGGTCAAGTCTCAGGTCATAGCAGCAGGAGCCGAGGAAAAAACGGTGGAGATCCTGGACAAACAGGACTCTGTCCTGTCCTACATGCCCGGGAACGCTACTCAAATCATAGTCAAGGTCGTCGGAGATCTAGCTGTGTGGGAACGGAAACAGGAGACGGTTCTTCAGCCGTGGGAAGCCCGCGGCGACTCTGAGAAAATCCTCCTTCAAGAGAGCGTGACAGCGACCAAACAAGTGTACTCCTCCACGGGGCAGAGGATTGATCAAGCTAAAGAAGACGGTGGTCGAGAGGAGGGGGGAGAAGAGGACACAGACAGAGACGCTACCAAATTCCCTCGAGATCCTTATATTGATCCAGACAGCGGGGAATGGATCATATCCGAGTGGGATATTGAATGTATTGTTGTGGGCGCTGGCATTTATGGATGTGGAGGTGGGGCCAGCCCACATATGGGCAGACTGCGAGCCCTCAAGTGTATCCGGAGTGGGAAGCGCATGCGCGTGGTGACCCCCGATCGCTTTTTGAAGGATGCTGACCCAGAAAATGATATCGTGATCGTGTCGGCTTTCATCGGAGCGCCCCTGATCATGTACGAGCAGGGAGTGTCGTCTGCCGAGACGACAAAAGCGCTGGAGTGTCTGAGAGATGTCTACGAGGTCGGAGGTTTCAAAGATGGAGATTTACAGAACAAGAAAGGTAGGTCGGATTTGCCTTTTTTGGGGTATCTGTCTGCCTGCCTGCCTGCCTGTCTGTCTGCCAATTTATCTGTCTCTCTGTCTCTCTGTCTGTCTGTCTGTCTGTCTGTCGGCCCGTCGGTTTCAAAGATGGAGATCTACAGAACATGAAAGGTGGGTCGGGTTCACTTTACTAATGGCTATCTGTCTGTCTGTCTGTCTGTCTGCCTGTCTTTCTGTCTGTCTGTCTGCCTATTTATCGGTCTGTCTGTCTGTCTGTCTTTCTGTCTGTCTCACCCTATCTTTTCGATTCCTAAAATATATTTTTTCTTGATAAAATGCTCCTCACCCCCCTTTTATTTTCAAAGCAGTGAGAAAAGCCCCCCCCCCCCCCCCCCCCCCAAAATAAATAAATAAATAAAATAAAATAAAATAAAATGTATTTTAAAAAAGCCTTACACTTACACGCAAATGTGCCCCTATGTTTTTCCTCTTGCTTAAGGTGTCCTTGTTTCTGTCTTTTTTTCCCTCCAAGGTATAACCGTCGAGACCAACGAAGCCGGAGTAAGGTTCGTCCAGAACTACGCCCCGAGCGACTCTTCCGAACGGTCCCACTACAAAATCGTGGCCCTCATGTCGGCAGAAATCGGGGGCATGAACGCCATCGAGCCTTTCCTGATCGCAGCCAACCTTGACCTTCCTATCTTGGACGCGGACGGGATGAGCCGAGCGTTTCCGGAAGTCCAGATGTTCATTCCATATATGTACAACAACCCCGCATATCCGGTGGGGATTGTGGGATCGGGGAACTCCGTAGAAAGAAGCGCGCTTCTGTACACCCCCGCCAATAAACTGACGGAGAATTTTCTGCGTGACGTGTCGATTGCAAATGGCTGCTCGGCGGGAATGGCTATTCCGGTCTCGTCGGCAGACGTGAAGACAAAGACAGCGCTGCACACCGTGAGCAGGGCTTGGAGGCTCGGGGACGCCATCTTGCGAGCCCGTCTGGAGAAAGAGTCGGTGATTGAGGCCATTGTCAGACAGGAGGACGCTAAGCATATCATCACTGGGAAGATCACGGATGTACAAAGAGAAACGAGTGGGGGGTACGTTCATTCTAAATTTCTTTCTGTTTTTCCTTCTTTTTTCTTTCTTTCTTTCTTTGTTCCTTCTTTCTTTCGATCGTTCTTTCTTTCTTTCACTCTTTCTTTCTGTAAAATCCAACTTATGTATAGAAGCTGTAAAACTCAAATTGTGTTATAGTAGGGGTTGTAAAAAATAATTTGTGTTATAGTATAGGGATTGTCAAAAATAACTTGTGTTGTAGGGCCTGTTAAAAAATAACTTGTTATAGTATAGGGGTTGTAGAAAATACCTTGTGTTTTAGTATAGGGGCGGTAAAAAATACCTTGTGTTATAGTAGAGGGGCGGTAAAAATACCTTGTGTTATAGCATAGGGGATGTAGAAAATAACTTGTGTTATAGTATAGGGGCTGTAAAAAAAGAACTTGTTATAGGGGCTGTACAAAATAACTTGTGTTATAGTATAGGGGCGGTAAAAAATAACTTCTGTTATAGGGGTTGCAAACCTGAGTCGATAGCAGAGGTCGATAGTGCCTTAAAAAACTTCCTCAAACAATCAAAGTGGTTGGTTGACGGGTGCTCTGGTTCGGTTTGCTTCTTCTTTACTATCAAACATCTATCGTCTTTATCTCCCCTCCTTCTTTTTTGTGTTTGTTACTCTCTTGTAACACCTCTTATCTTCGACACTTATGTGACCTTATCGTGTTGCAAAGGTCATAAAACTTTTCTTACTAAAAATAAAACAATCAAACAAACAAAGGGTTGCAAAACTCATCTACAGTAGGCTACCTATACTTTTTCCCCCAGTTTCAACAAAGGTTACCTGACAGTAGAAGGTGTAGAGGAGTGGGACGGTCAAGAGATACGGCTGGAGTTTCAGAACGAGAATCTGGTCATCCTTCCCTTGACCAATGGGCAGGCTGGTGAATGCATGGGATGTACTCCAGACCTCATCTCTGTTGTGGATGCCGACACTGCTGGTATGTGTGTGTGTGTGTGTGTGTGTGTGTGTA